GGGGCACGAACCCGCGTCTCCTGCATCGGCAGGCGGACTCTCAAGCACTGCGCCACCAGGGAAGCCCCCGTCAGTTTATTTTAATCATCCCACAGTTGGCTGCCGGGAGCCACGTCAAGCCTGTGCCCCTTGGCCATGTCCGCATCATTCTTCCGAGCATGTCCTTTTCTTTCTGTCATAAGGGGTTCCAGGCTCATCTTCTTCCCTCCCTTTCCTCAGGGGGATCCTGGTTCTGCTTAGTGGAGAGTGGTCTCTAGAGACCAAGATCTGAGTGCTCTGCGTGCTGGTCGCCGTTGGGCTGTCGCCGCTCCCAGGCCCTCTCTGTGCCCAGAGCTGAGAACACACACAGCCCGGAGCACAGACATACGTAGACCTATTCGCATACACACACTCACATCTGCACGTGTTTCTGTGCCTCTGCTGTTCTGTCTGCTTGTGTAGGTCACCCCCGGTTCGGGTGGGTGCTTCCAGCACCAACAGGGTTCATTGTAGCCCCACCTCCCTCCCTTCCCCCGCTTCGTATTTCTGCCTCTTTTCTGGCAGCAAGGAACCTGGCTCCCTTTGTCCTCAATGCACTTACTCATCGCTCAAGCCCCCGCCAAGCTGCCTTCTCTCAGATTATTTTTAGCCTGTGGTACACACCAGGTTGAATTCTGACCTGCCTTCCTGGTTAAATCCAGAGTTCCCTCATCACCTGGGTCTCTCTGAGGTGGGGCACAAAGAAGCCTGCTTGCTTCAGGCATGATTCAGAGGACGGAGGCTGCCCCACAGCAAGCTCACGGGGGGCCGTGCATGTGCCCTTGAGAAGACACGGGTACAGCGGCCTGTGCAGCCCTGTGACCTTGGCGTGACCTTGCACCCCTGTGATGGGCTCTGGCCGTCAGGCAGTGCCTCTTCGCTGCACCCTGACTGCGTTGCAGGAAAAGTGGGCTTCTGGAGGCCATGAGAAGAGACCACGTTTGTTTCGGTGCAGACAGGGCTTGTGGCAGGACCTCCAGGGTGCGCCGCCCTGTAAGCACCCTCCCTGCTGCTCTGGGCCCTGCTGTCCCGGGTCCCCGGTTGCCATTGCGAGTGCGGCACACACGCCCGTCTGTGTCTCCATTCACCGCAGCATTCAGCATGGATGTCCTGTGCATCCTTGGGGTGGGCCAGGCACTGCGCCCAGTGCTCGGGGTCAGTGGCAGTGACTTTCCAGGCCTGTCGCCCCTGCTGGTTAGCCTGGTCAGCCCCAGGGGTCCAACGGTCAGAGCAGGGCGGTGAGAGCAGTCTCTAGCCCCAGTGTGAACACTGCAAAGCCAGCTCTAAGGGCTTTTTAAAATCACCTGAATTACGAATTTCATCGCAGTTTTTTTTTTAATGTTTCTAAATTGCCAATCATCTTCTGAATAATCCTGAGCTTTGAAAATGTAATTCAGTATTTCCCTTCCCCAAAGGAACATCTGGCAACATGTCCTCCCCTGCATCCTGTGCTGTCTGGCTCTCCTGAGTGTGGTGTTAACGACCCCTCTACGGGAGAGACACCAGCTCCACCAGCGCAGGCTCCCTGGAGCCCGTCGGCATCAGCTCCTTCATGCAAGCTAGCAGTGAGAGTTACTTATTGTAACCTGTTTTTGCCCAAGGAGAGCAGTTTGGCTCACCAACACATAGCCCGCAGGAAGAGGGCCTTCCTGTTTAGGGATTCTTTTGTGGGGTTTTTTTTTTTTTTTTTTTTTTTTTTTTTTTTTTTTTTTTTTTGGCTGAGTTGGTTCTTCGGTACTGCGTGCGGGCTTCCTCTTGTTGCAGTGAGCGGGGTCTGCTCTTCGTTGCAGTGCACGGGCTTCTCATTGCAGTGGCGTCTCTTGTTGCGGGGCACGGGCTCTAGGTGCACGGGCTTCAGTAGTTGTGTCACGTGGGCTCAGTAGTTGTGGCTCACGGGCTCTAGAGCGCAGGCTCAGTAGTTGTGATGCACGGGCTTAGTTGCTCCGTGGCATGTGGGATCTTCCCGGACCAGGGCTCAAACCCGTGTCCCCTGCATTGGCAGGCGGATTCTCAACCACTGCACCGCCAGGGAAGCCCCCTGTTTGGGAATTCTGATTTGATTTTGTTTCATACCTGAAAGTGTGGGCTGACCAGGTGTTTGTGGTGGTGTTTTTGTGTACAGTTGGAAGGGTTTCTAGTGTATCTACAGAGTTGTGCACCCATCACCATAATTAACTTTAGAACATTTTTGTCACTCCAAAGAGACCCTATGCCCTTGAGCAGTCACTCCCCACTTTGTCTTTCCCAGCCCCTGGCAACCACAAATCGACTTTCTGTCTCCGTGGATTTGCCAGCTCTGGACATTTCATGTAAATGGAGTCATACGCTGTGTAGCCTTTTGGGGTATCTTTCCATTTATTTAAGTCTTTACTTTCTTCCGACAATGTTTCGTAGTTCTCGTTGGTTCGGTTTATTCCCAAGTATATTCTCTGTGGTGCTGCTGTAAATGGAATTGTTTTCTTCACTTTCCGATTGCTCGCTACTGGTGTGTAAAAACACGCAAGGGATTTCTCTGTCTTGATCTTGTTCCCTGTGACCCGAAAAGGGTTTTTTTCCCCCGTGGGCTGGACCTTAGCACAAAAGTGAGGCTGCCTCTGGGGCCCAAAATGCTGCTGTCCCTGGGCTCTTCTGGGGACAGGCGTGTCCTGTTGGAGTCACAAGGCTTTTTATCCTGATCCTTCTGGTCAGGGAATGCATTAGACTGTCTCCCCCGCCCCCTGAGATGGGCAGAGTCACCAAGGTGCAGGGATTAAGGGATCTGTGTGTACTGGCGGCTGAGCTGAAACCAGGCTTTGAGCCCCTGTGTCTGTCAGCTCTGCATAGTTGTCCATCCCAGACTTCGTCGCCTCCTCCTCCTGGGCCTCCCAGCACCCTCATTAGCCGCAAGCACTCCGGGCACATCTGGAGAGAGCCTGCCGTCTGCCACCTTTGATCTTTCACTACAGAAAATGCATCTCATTTCTCAGAGGTCTGCTGGTAGTAGAGAAGCTTCTCCTGATTACAGACGTGTCCTCCTGGAAAGGGAGCTGGGTCCCAGGGACCAGAACTCTGTGGCTCCCTGATATTCCTTGGGGCCCGCGAGCACAGCCCAGCCTCCGAGCTCTCAGCCCCGGCAGGTAGCTAGGTGGGTGGACTGCAGCTTGACCAGCCCCACACACGCCCTCCAGTTCTCTCTTGCCAGCAGTTCACCCCAGGGCCAGCACTGCCTGCAGCGCTCGGCCTCCTCCCTTACCGTCGGGATTGGATGGGCTTCCGCTCTTCTGTTTTAACTTGGAGACATTTTCCCTAGTTCCCCAGGCCCATGGCCACCGAAGCCCAGACCACAGTCCTCTTCTGCCCCTGGCCCCTCCTAGCTTTGCTGCCCCACCCCAGGCAGGCCCGCTTTTTATTTTTTCTCTTATGCTTGTAGAGGAAAAGAGCAGTGGATTCCGGTTGAAGCCGCCGACCCTGATCCACGGCCAGGCACCCAGTGCAGGTGGGTGTCCACCTTGAAGGAGGAGCACAGAGTGGCTGCCTTGCGGCCTCTGCGTGCCAGTGTGGTCCGGGCTCACTTTTCTGACACGTGAGCACTGGAACACCGCTGGGAAGAGCCCGTCGGACCAGGGAGGTTCTCCTGCCTGTGAGCCCGCTGTCCCGAGGAGGTGGCGGCGAGGGAGCGGGCCCGGCTTGGTGGGTGGCGTTCACGCTCCGTGCCCGGCAGTAGCTCAGTTGTGAGACTGTCTCTGCTGAGCGATCTGCCCACAGCATTAACCCTGAGTAGCAGAGCAGCCGCTAGTGAGCGGGGCCCGGCACGCACGCCATCGAGACACGTCACATCCAACGGGAAGCCCTTGCAGGGCCGGGAGCGTTCTCGTGGTCCTTGCCCTGTATGTTTGGCAGAGGGGTTTTCTCAACGTGGCATTTTGAGAAGCAGGTGCAAGGGGTACCTTTATGTGACCCCTAGCAGAGTCCCAAACTTTGAGAGGTGAACTGTGGCTTCGCTGCTTTCCCCTCACCGTCTGCCCTTGACCCTCGAGCCCCACACTTGAGAACAGCTGTCTCTTGGTCCCCCCTGTAGCATTCCTGTACTCACTGGATTAATTTGCAGACATGATCAGTTTCATGGGGGTTTCATTTAATCACATATAAAAATAACAATAGCCAGAATTAGTATGTCTAACTGTCAAGAAAATACCTTGGGTTTTTAATTTTTTCAGTATGCTTCCCTGTAAAGTCTAGCCCAAGAGGGACATCAGTTGGGTTGCTGGGGTGAATTTCTCTGTAAAGTGCCTGAGAGCCGGCGTGGGGGTGGGTTGCATTTCTGCCCTTGCGGTCGGAGGGCTTGGGCAAGCCGACCTCTGTCCCCAGGTCTGCCGAGCCAGAAGCCCAAGGAGCAGCAGCGGAGCGTGCTTCGCCCAGCAGTGCTACAAGCCCCGCAGCCAAAGGTGCTCTCACAGACCGGTGAGTGACTCGGCCCTGGCCCCTCCCAGGCTCACACGTCAGGGCACAGCCGCATCACGACACAGGTGGCTTTGGCCCCGTCTGCTGAACGCACTGGGAAATAGAGTGCTGGAGAAACAAGCCCTCAAATCCCCAATGAGCCTGGAAGACAGGCAGTTCCACTGGCCTCCTGAGAGCTGGCCCCCCAGCTCTGAGCGGCCCAGATGTGTCCCTGTGTGTTTGCAGGCAAAACTCAGCCCTGTATGTCTAAGAGACCTGAACCATATTTCCATTATATCCACAAAGGGTGGGGTTTTCAGTATCCTTAATTTTTTCTTAATACTGATAAGCTTTTCTTCTCTTCCTCTTAATCTTTCC